GGCCTCATCAGAGTGAGCAGGAGAGAGGCCGAGGACAGGGAGCAGGAGTGAGCCAGGAGGAACCCGTGCTCTGGTTGAAAATGGTTGTATTAAGTGACATCCCATCATTTTTGTTAGGTGCACACTCTTTGTGAGAGAGGATGACACATAGGTGTGAACACTAGAGAGGGATCCTTGGGTGACATTTTAGGAGCCACCTCCTACACTTACACAATTAGCATGTGCCAGACAGTGAGCTAGGTGCTTTCAATTCACAGGCTCATTTAGGTCATGTCACCATGTCAAGACAGATAAGGAAATGAAGGTTAGTCCAGTGAAGTAACCCACCCAGAAATAACTTCATCAGAACCAGGACTTGATCCCAGAATTGGTTCCATTCACTATACAAGGCTGCCTCCCTGGGTCAAGGAAGGTGCTGGATTGATTGGTTAAGAAGAAAATGTCTGTTCTCCTTGAGGAAATGTCCATGTTCTCTTTCCCAATGCCCTAGGTGCCTGCAGCACTTTATCCAAGAGTTCTGGAGCTCATGGATCTGGGATTAAAGGTTTTAGAACCCACACTTATCTGAAGGCGATCCGGGGAAGTTCGGTCTTGTTGCAAGTGATCCAGGAGCCAGAGGATCCCAAGATACAGGAGATCTCCTGGGGCTTCGCCTCTGATTCAAACTCCACATTCATGCTGAGACTCCAGAATGGGAAGGAAGATCCACTGTGGTTCAGTCTCCAGGACAAGTACAAGCAGAGGGTCCAGGTGCCCAGTATGTCATCCCTGAGGATTAACAATTTGACCTCACAGGACAGTGGGCAGTACTGGGCCCAGATCATGTTTCAGACGGGGAGAGAAATTAAAGGACTTTTCATCCTCACTGTTTATGGTAAGTGACACCCTCACCTAGTCCCAGGGCTGGCCTCCTTCCTTGAGTCTAGGAGGCTCTGAGACCACATGCTGCAGGATTCTCCTCAGGCACCAACACGTCAGATATTCATCACAAACAGTAGAGCTGAGGTTTTATACCAGGGAGAAAAATCACATCTGAGTTTGGGGAGACAAAATGGAAATTTGGCCATTTTTGCAGTTACATTTCCTCCTCTTTGTAAGACTAAATTTACTGCTTTTGTGTGTTAGTTTTCCTTTGCTGTTTTAACAATGCATAATCCTGGTTTAAAACAACACAAATGTGTATCCACAATATGCTGCAGGTCGAGGTCACACATGGTGGTCACTGGGCTAAATTCCAAGTGGGGGCAGGGCTGCATTTTGTTCTGCACGATCTAGAGGGGATCCTTTCCTGCCTTTGCTACTCTCCAGAGCTGCCAGCCTCCCTGGACTTGTGGTCCCCTCCTCTGCCTAAACTAGAAAGGGATGGGGAGTCTCTCTTGCATCCCTCATACCTGCTCTTTTCCTTCCTTCTCCACCCTGACTTTTTATTTTTTGGTGCCAGGAATTGAACCCTGGGGTGCTTAACCACTGAGCCATGCTCCCAGCCTTTTAAAAATTTCCTGTATTTTTGAGACAGAGCCCTGCTAAGTTGCTTAGGACCACGTAAGGTTGCTGAGGCTGGCTTTGATCTTCGGATCCTCCTGTCTCAGCCTCCTGAGCTGCTGGGATTGTGGATGTGCATCACCATGCCGGCTCTTCTTACACATTTAAGGGTCCCTGTGATAATTCCGGGACTATCCAGATAATCCTATTTAAAGCTCAGCTCTTTTTTTTTTTTTTTACATAACTTAGCATATTCACACTTTCCGAGGATAAAGATGTGGAATCCAGAGGTATCTAGTTCTTTGTCCTCAATCCTTGCAAGGAGTGGCCAGTGAGAAGCCAGCCTCACTTCCACAGACCCCACAAATCCTGCTCTGCAAGCCTTGATAGGGTAGGAGAAGTGGTGCTGCTGCGCGTCCCAGGAGATCCGTTTTGCCAACTCTAGGGTCCCCACAGTCCCTCTCTGCCTAGGGCAGTCCCTCTGCAGAGAGTGGACTCCAGGTGCAGGTCCTGTGTGATTTCCAGACTGGCCTGTGGATCTGACCCTTCTCCCCCAGTCGGGAGCACACATTCAGTGTCACGTTCTAACTGCCTGCAGAGCTGTGCTCTCTGTTGCAGCCACTGTATCTCCCACAATGTCTCCTGTTTTGACCTGAGCTTTCTGGTTCCTCCCAGAGCTGGCCTGGTGTCCTGCCCCAGTCGGGCTGTGCAGTCCCAGGCACTGTCTCAGCTGAAGACACAGGACACAGGACCCTGGCCCCTGACAAGCTCTTCTTTCCCACACTTCCTCCCCTTCCAGAAGCCCCTATCTTCTAGGAATAATGGTCCCTGGGATTCAGCCATCATTTTTTCATTGGAAAAAAAAGTTTAGACTTGCTTCATCTAGTGAGATCACATGAGCTTAATAAAGTGGCTGCTGTCACTTGTCAACATGTAGCTCTGGGGAAATTGTGCTTTATTTGTAACGTGCTCCCAGCTTCCTCCTAGGGCTCCTGCCTATGGTCAGTGAGACACTGGAGGACAATGTGTGGCATGTGTGAGGCTGTCTCCTTTTGTCCCCTCCTTCCTCAGATCCTGTGCCCCTTGCCCAGATCCGGACCACGTCAGCGTCCATCACGCCCAGCTGGTGCAATGTCACTCTGGATTGTGGGGCCCGAGAGGCTGTACAGTTCCTGAATGTAACCTGGGAGGTCCATGGCCCCCCCAGTGAGCGGGAGCAGAGAGGGGTACCAGGACCCCCCAACCCCTGGACCCTGGCCCTGAGCCTGCCGCTGAGGCAGCCCAATGTCAGCCTCACCTGTGTCCTCAGCAACCCAGTGGACCAGAAAAATGCCACCTTACAGCTCGTTGACCTCTGTAGCCCAGGTGAGTGCACCTGCAGGAGGGAGGGGCACAGGGAGGGGCTCAGGTGGCTCTGGAGCCCCAGAGTCCTTGGCTTTTTTGCTGCCGTGTTTATGAACAGCACTGCCTTCCCTTGGTCACTCCGTCCAGAAGTGTGGGGTCGCATCCAGCTCACGACTGTCTTTAAATATCCCTCACCTCCATGCCCTTCCCCCTGGGCCAGGGGAAGCCTTCCAGGACCTGTCCCACCCCGTCCCCTTGCCCTGTGTCCAGTGTCATCTTTGAAAAAACAGATTGGATTGTGGCCTTTGTCTGTGTCATGTCTGGGGTCGACCTCCACTTAGTCCCCATAGGATGTAGGGTTTAGAATGTCCTGTGTCCCCAATGGTGGCCTCATCCACACAGGGACACAGCTGCTTGCTGACCTTCCCTAACGTGTGAAGCCACTGCAGGCTCTGAAGGTGCAGCCTCTTTAAGGAGCTGCCCATGGCCATCCCCCTGAGTGGAAAGATCCCTTTCTGGGTCTGAGTCCACCCTGAGTGGGACATCATGAGGGCAGGGGACACATCCTTCTCTCCTCTTAGCCCAGGTGTCAGGCTCAGTTCTGGGCAGTTTTCGGCCCAGTAGGTGTTTCACTGAACCCGAATGCCTGGGACCCGTGTGTACCCGTCCTCTCTCAGTCTTCCTCCAGGGGCTGCTGGAGGAGCCTGACTGGTCAGTGCAGTCACCACCCCTGGTCATGTGCCCCCCACCTCCACCCTGGAGTCTCAGAGGAAGTTCAACATGGCCCACCAAACCTCCTGGCCTCACGGCTGCCTCCCGGGCCTCCCCACCTAGCCCTGCCTCCTGTGCTGTCCCTCCCCTGCAGGATGCTCCCGCCACACTGAGTATCTGTGAAACTCCTGCCACTCCCCACACACAGGTGACTGCGCATGTCCTTGGGGGTCTCACTGTAGACCTTGAACATGGGTCAATCTCTATGGCAGTGAGATCCTTCACCTGGTGATTGAGAGCTTCTGTCTCTTCCTGGTGATGACTTGTTCACAGACCCCACCTTGCTCATCCCCGTCTCCCCTGCACCCCAAAGGACCTGGGCCACTGCTTGAATGAGTCGACCTGCCAGGCCCTCCATCTGCGGCTTCTGCACCAGGCCCTCCTGACACCTGCGCCTTCTCCACCTCCCCTGGAAATGGGTGTGTCAGCTTCTCTTATGCTGTATCCTCTCTTAACTCTCTTGTTTTCTTAACGCTCTGGAAATGAGCGCCCACAGCTGGCCACACGAGAGGCGCCATAGGGGCCTTCCTGGCTGGGTTTTTCATCCTGGGAGTCGGAGGGTTCCTGTTCCTTTGGCACTTACGAGAGAAGGAGAAGAAGAAGAAGAAGAAGAAGAAGAAGACAAAGATGGAGATGGAGATGGAGAGAGGCAGGTTGCACTTACCTTTCTGGGTCCAGATGTCTCCCCTCTCCCTTGGATCCTGGACTTCCTTCCTCCTGCATTTTAATGGCAGGAAGTGGCCTTGTAGAGGGGATGATGTGTGTAGCCATGATGGCCTTGGGTTCCTGGCTGTGTGTGTGAGTGTGTGTGTGTGTGAGAGTGTGTGTATGTGTTAGTGTGTATGAGTGTGTGAGAGTGTGTATGAGTGTATGTGCATGTGTGTGAGTGTAAGTGCATGTGTGAGTGCATGTGTGTTAGAGTGTGAGTGTGTGTGAGAGTGTGAGTGTGTGTCTGAGTGTGTATGAGTGTAAGTGTGTGTGTGTCTGTGTGTGTAGGGTTGTAGGTTTCCTTGGCACAGAATCAAGCTCCAGTGAATGTGTGAATGTAAGTGTATGTGTGACTGTAAGTGGGAGTCCATGTGTGTGAATGTGAGAGTGAGTGTGTGTGAAAGTGAGTGAGTGTGAGTGTGAAAGTGTAAGTATGATTGTGTCTTTTAGTGAGTGTGTGAGTGTGAGTGTAAGTGTGTGAGTGAGTGTGTGTGCATATGAGTGTAAGTGAGTGTGTGAGAGTGTAATTATGAGTGTGTGAGTGTGAGTGTGTAAGAGTGTGTATGAGTTTAAGTGCATGTGTGAGTGTGAGTGAGTGTGAGTGTGATAGTGTAAGTATGAATGTGTGTTAGAGTGTGAGTGTGTGTTAGTGTGTGTTTGTGTGTGTGAGTGTGAGAGAATGTGGGTGTATATATGACAATGTGTGTTAGTGTGTGTATTAAAGTGTGTGAGTGTAAGTGCATGTGAGAGTGTGTGTATGAGTGTAATTGCATGTGTGAGTGTGACTGTGTGTGTGAGTGCTTGTGTGTGTTAGATTGTGAGTGTGTGTTACAATCAGTGTGTGTAAGTGAGTGTGAGTGTGTGTTGCAGTGAGTGTGAGTGTGTATTACAGTGTGTGCGTGTGAGAGTGAATGTGTGAGAGTGAGTGTGTGTGAAAGTGAGTGTGTGTGATAGTGTAAGTATGAGTGTGTGTGTTTTAGTGTGTGAGTGCGAGTGTGTGAGAGTGTGTGAGTGTAAGTGCATGTGTGAGAGTGGAGTGTGTGTAAAAGTGAGTGTTGTGAGTGGGAGAGTGTAAGTATGATTGTGTTAGTGAGTGTGTTAGTGAGTGTGAGTTTGAGTGTGTGAGTGTGTGTATGTGAATATGAGTGTGTGTTTGTGTGTAAAAGTGTATGTGTGTAAGTGCATGTGTGAGAGTGTGTGAGTGTGTGAGAGTGTGTATGAGTGTAAGTGCGTGTGTGGGTGTGAGTGTGTGAGTGTAAGAGTGTGAGTGCATGTATGTGTTGGAGTGTGAGAGTGTGAGAGTGTAAGTGTGAGTGTGAGAGTGTGTTGGAGTGTGTGAGTGTGAGTGGAAGTGTGTGAGTATGAGTGTGTGTATCTGAGTGTGTGTGAGTGTAAGTGTGTGTGTGTGTGTGTGTGTAGGGTTGGAGGTTTCCCTGGCACAGAATCAAGCTCCAGTCTGTCAAGACTCAGATGCGGGATTGCCAGTGGACCCCAGGGCCAAGGACGATGCAGTCTATGCACAGCTGACGGCACAGGATTCTCTGAAGGGCAAGCGGAAGGTGAAAACTGTGAGTGGTGACCAGCCAGGTCTCATGGCACCCAGCCCTGGGCTGCCTGCCCAAAGCCAGGTATCTGCTGTGCTGTCTCCACTGTATTTTTTTCTTTCCTTTTTACCTCTTTTTGTGTTGAGAGTATTAAGAAAATTTATGGGTTGGTGTCATGGTTAATTTGAATTGTTGACTTGATTGGATTAAGAGATGCCAAGGAGGGACTGGGGTTGTGGCTCAGCAGTAGAGCACTTCTGGGTTCACCCCTAGTACCCCCCACCCCCCTGGGGTTTAAATTTTTTAAATTTCAAGACACAGTCTCACTGATTTGCTGAGGATGGCCTAGAACCTGCAATCCTCCTGCCTCAGCTTCCCAAGTCTTGGGACCACACATGTGCTCCGCCATCCCTGGCTTAAGCTATTCATGTTAATGGGTGTCGATTGTCTTCTGGTCTCTCTGGGGCCACTCTGTCCTCAAGCTGCTCTGAGAACCCTCTTTCTTGTATTCTCAGGATATTGATGAGAAACATCTGGAAGGAAAGGGGCCCTGCACCAGTGTTTACAGCATGGTCCAGAGACCAGGCCAGGCCTTGAAGATGACTTATTAGGAGGAGGGAGGAGAACCCAGCACTAGGGAGACACCTGCACTCTGCACCTGACACCTGCGGATACCTACTTCCTCTGACTTCAGTCCAGCTCAAGATGCCACTGGTCTGCATGAGCCTGACCTAGTGGTCATCTCTACCTCTGTGGGCTCATGTGGCCCTGTCACTTCTCCTGCCACCTTCCCAAGCTTCCCTCACGCTCAGAGCTCTGGTGCCATCCAGCCAGGGTTCTTCCTCTGTCACTGCTGTGGCTTCTGACCCCTCCCTTTCAGAAGCCTTCCCAAAGAGAACCTTGCCCGACTCTGCAGCTGGCACAGCCTCGCCACCTCTGCTGCGTCACTCTTGCCATTCTGAGACCTCAGGTCCAGGTGTGGGCACCATGAAGGGGTGCTGACTTGCCCTAGTGGAGGGGGTGAAGATGGTCCTGCCACTGAATTGGGGCTGATGGAGGCAGCGTGGCGAGTGGGAGCCCAACTTCCTTTCTAGGTTTTCCTTCCTTTCCTTGTGTAGGGTTTCTCTGGAGCTAAGTGTGTGTGTGTGTGTTGGGGGAGTTTCTTGTGCTCATTACACACCAGAGCCAGAGTGGCCTTCCCGGTTTCCTGTGCTAACCTGGACATAAGCCTCAAACTCCTGCAAACCCATCATTCTGTGGACTGGGAAGAGGAATCCATATTATTTCAGGTCCTTCTCAACTTTCTCTTTTCCTGAGAATGACCCTGGACTCCCCAGACTGGGGTTGAATTTTTTTTTTTCCTTTTTAACTGGCATATTATATTTTTATGACAGTGAGACTTGCTATGATATACTCATATGGGCACACAATAAAACAGCATAATTGAATCAATTTCATTCCCCTTTCCCTCCCCCCTCCCCCTGATCCCCTTCTATTCTGCTGGTCTCCTTTCTATTTTTTAAAATGTGTTCTAATTAGTTATAGATGGCAGTGGAATGCATGTTGACACATTGCACACAAATGGAGCACAACTTCTCATTCCTCTGGCTCTACATGACATAGAGTCACATCATCATACATGTATCTATAGGGTCATACTGTCTGTCTCACCCTACTGTCCTCCCCATCCCCTCAGTCCCAATGGGGTTGCATTTTTTAATATTTATTTTTTAGTTGTAGATGATTGCAATACCTTTATTTTATTTCTTTATTTTTTGTGGTGCTGAGAATCGAACCCAGGCCCTCGCACTTGCTAGGTGAGCGCTCTCCCGCTGAGCCACAGCCACAATGGGGTTGCCTTCTTAAGGAATCTGCTTCAGCTCTGCTCTTGGCCCGAGAAGGAGGCACTTGGTTAACAGGGTGTGTCATGTTCCCTCCCTCCCCTTGGGGGCAGCTGGGTGAAGCTGTGGGAAGATCTGATACAAGACATAAAAAAGCATCAGGAGGACAGCCCTCTCCAGCCTCTGCTAGGGACCCTCAGCCCGCTGCAGCCCTGCTGGCCCCGAAATAAGGTCAGCCTCCTTTTTGTCTTTGAGAGTCAAACAGGTTTGTTAGCAAGAGGTCCAGCATAATATTAAAAACCGTATTCAAAACTATCAGTTTGGCCAAGTGCAGTGGCGCACACCTCTCATCCCAGCAGCTTGGGAGGCTGAGACATGAGGATTCCTGGTTCAAAGCCAGCCTCATCAAAAGCAAGGCACTTAGCAACTCAGTGAGACCCTGTCTCTAAATAAAATGCAAAATAGGGCTGTGGATGTGGCTTTTCTAAGCTTACTAATTCCATTTATGAAGGTTATGCCCTTGGGAACTAATCATCTCCCCCTGCCTCCAGCTCCTAATATCATCATCTCAGGAGTTAAGTTTCAACATATGAATTTTGTTGTGAATACTGAGATCATAGCAGCAGTGATCCTAATATTCTGGTAAATTATATATAAAAAAATACCTTAAATAACACAGCCTGATAGAACACAAAATTGACAGAATTTCAAGGAGGAAAAAACAGATTCAGATTCACACAGTGAAAGATTTTAGTCTGAATCTCAGTAATCGAAAAATATAACAAAAATCAGAACAATCTTCTTAAAGTGTGTTAAAACAACACAATGAAGCAAATTGATTTAATAGATAAAACCCAAACACTTAATACTGCATTTTATTTTCAAACGCACCTGGAACATTTAGAAAAGTTAACTAGTGCTACTACTAGGAGTCCATGAAGTGAATTTCAATGAATATTAAAGAGTCACTAACTTTCTTTT